TGATGTGTCTCTCTCACATCAATGCTTTTCTCTCTCTCTTCCTCCCTCTCTCCCTCCCCCTCTACCTGAAGATAAATGCAAAAATGTCCTCAGGTGAGGATAAAAAAAAATCTGCACACAAATGTGTCCAGCAGCTTTATTCCCCTTTCTTTCTGCCTATCCAAGTTCTGCTTATCTATTATTACCTTTCCAAGCCTTATTACCTCCAGTGAAGCTATCTGTGGATGAATGACTTCTCTAAAGTCTTGTAGTTCTTGGAGAAGTGCTGTCTAATAAAAATACAATATGAGCCAAACATATGTTTTTTAAATTTTCTAGTAGCTACATTAAAAAAGTAAAAGAAACAGGTGAAGTAAATTTTATTATATATTTATTTAACCTAATATATCCAGTGTATAATACATACTCAGTAAAAAACATTGATACATTTTGTTATTTTTTTTCATACTGTCATCAAAATCTAGCATGTATTCTATACTTATAGTACATCTCACTTTGTGACTAGACACATTTCATGTGCTCCATAGTCACATGTGGATAGTGGTACTATATTGGACAGCACATACCCACAGAATCCATTATACAATTTAGCACAAGATTATCAGGTCTAGGCGGGCAGAATATGGGTCCTCCATAAAAAAATCAGACCCATAATTGGAATGTGGTTACCTTGTGACATCCTTATGACAGTTATAGCTCTATTTTCAGAGCCACAGAGAAACATGTGGAAAGTGAGTGCTATGGACTGAATGTTTGTATTCCCCTCTACCCCAGTTCATAAATTGAAGCCTAATCCCCAAATGCAATAGTATTTGGAGATATAGGGCCTTTGGAAGGTAATTGGATCGCAAGGTTGGAGCACTCATGATGAGATTAGTGTTCTTATTAGAAGAGATGGGGGAGAGCTTGCTTCTCTCTCTGCTCCGTGGGCCATGTGCGGACACAGAGAGAAGACACTATCTATAAGCCAGGAAGCCAGTTCTCACCAGATGCCAAATCTGCTGACACTTTGATCTTGGACTTTCCAGACTAGAACTGTGAGAAATATTTTTTAAGGCACGGAGACTAGGGGATTCTGTTATAACAGCCTGAGCTGACTGAGACAGGAATTGGTCACCCAGATAATGTGCTAATGAGATGATGCTCTCCTCACAAACAAGCACCAGTCCAGTTGACGAAGAGGACATCAGAGGCTTCTCTGTCACAGTAGATAGAGAACACAGGGAAAGAACATACGAGACCAGGAGAACTGAGGCTATCACATCAAAGTCTTCAATTCTTCTTCATAATAGTCATGTACATAGCTATAAGTTACCATTGTTCATGAGAACTGGATAGGCTTTTGAATCTGCATCCATGAGACTGGTGTAACTGGTTCTAGGTACATGACTGCTGGTAGATCTTAGTAAAATCAAGCATTGTTCCCTGGGCATAGAAAAATATATGTCGTTAAAAGACAAATGCCTCAGTTTAATCAACAAAATAATTATTTCCAGGGAAACATTAAATTCAAACATGTATGTCCAACAGTGAATTCTGTTACTGAAAGTGTCAGGAAAGACATCTTGTTGCATGGTGGGCAGATTTTTATTAAAGGCTCCTTATCACCATCTAGCTCAAATATAAACATCTGATTATTGCCGCCACCTGTCTGTACAAAGTATTCTCATTTCCAATGAACCTGTTTTTGTGCCCTGTGTCCTAGTCAAACATATGCCTGGTGACTTTCTCAACAAGGTGATTTCCTCCCAGTTTTGCGCCAGCCCCGTGGTTTTAGAACACCTGTGTGACACAGTGAAACCCTACCCCTCTGAAGAGGAGTTTCCAGACACTTCCCCTCCAGGAAAATAAAATGAACCACGATCTTCTGTCATTATCTTCATTACTCTTCTTTAAACCAATCACTCCATTCTTTCAGTGATATATTTTTAATGGCAACTTCATATTTACATTAGTGTCTGCCTGGAAGGCATGTGAGACTTTTCCTGGAGCTAAACTCTGCTAAGTAGCATGACACACGCTTGGTTAAACAGTTCTCCAGGACAGCAGTTTGGGATGGGTGATGCAGAGGCTGACAGGAAAGATGAGGAGGGAAGGCTCCCTTTGTAGCTTCCTCTCTTTACCAAAGCCTAAATTTAGAACAGCCTTTCTTCTTTAAGCTGAAGGAAAAATAATGGCAAATATAACACTATTTGAAGAGAAAAGGAAAAAAAAAAGATTAAAACTAAAAGAATTAGAATTTTTTCTTATAAACCAAATTATTTGTTGCATTGAAGAGGGGTAGGTGAGCAATGGCCTCTTCAGGAGAAGGAGCCTGACCAGGACTTGCTCAGATGAAAGGAAACTGGTCACGTCCACGCTTCTGCTCGTAGGTTCAGAGAACTTTATTAAGCAGAGCCCTTTAGTGAGTTTGGGTTTGGTGATGGAGGCAAAACTGTTTGACACGAAATAGGAACAAAAATTTAGAGAGTGGGAAGCTAGCATTTGCAGTGGGGGATGGCCAAGTAGATGGTCATAAGCCAGGGCCCAAAAGATACCACCATCTTGAAATTTCCCCTGGTGGGGAATAGCCCATAAATTGTTACAACAATGTTGCCTAGATTTCTGATTAAATCTATCACCTATCCTGTGGTGTTCTGTAATTTCCTTATGTTATTCCAAACCTTCAGTAAAATTCTGTGACATCCAACAGCATCATATTCATAGTATTGGGAGGAGGGGCTGCTGGTATTCAACACAGGGCAAGAGGGACCTAAAAAAGAGGAGGAGTCTATCAATAGAAACTGAGTAATGGTTTGGATGGATAAATCAGAAAAATGCCCTCTCTGAAGAAATCAACAGAAATACTGGCTGGAGGGTGAGGAGGCGGTATTTTCCAAAGTAAGTGGGTTGAGAGTTTCATTGTCTCATTTGGATGTTAAAAAGAGGTCTCAGAAAGCTGTAAGATTTGAGAACATCTGGTTCATATTATTGCTTATTGGCATTAAAATACTCGAGTTATCTGTCTGTCAGTCCCATGGTCTCCAACTGTATTTCTCAGACTAGTAAAATTTTAGGGACTGCTGGGGTACCACGTTTTTATTGTATTATGCAAAAATATTTTAAAAACTAATTATCACCATTGTTTTATAAAATAAAGGGCATTTTAACACACATATAGGCAAATGGAAAGGGCATAATCTCAGGAAAATTTTTTAAAATTTTGTTTCTCATAAACTTTTTTTTCATAAAATATTTTGTTTCTATCGGAAATGATCTCACACTTACAACCTATTAAAACAGAATGTAGTTTATTTTATTTAGCTTCAGCTTATAGAGTCCTTAAATGTTTCTTCACTTGTTTTTTCTTTTACAAAAACATTGCTAAACCTCTTATGTGCCAACCACTGTGCTAGGTTCTGGGGTACAGAGATGAACATGACTCTGACCTTAACCTCAATATCTCATGATTTTTTTTTTTTAGCAAAGTCAAGCAGGTGACCCCAGCTGCTAATCACCTGAGCTTTATTGTAGTAGAGGAACTGGTAGACTACTAAGGGCCAAAACGCCAAACAACAGTTAAAAACAGTCAATCTATCTCTAAGCAGAATTCAAGAAACACTAAAGCCTGATGTTAGGACTTACTTTGCACAGATTATTTGAGTTTTCTTACCAATGATTTAGAGGGAAACTGACAGTACACCCCAGAGAGCATGGGGTTTTTTAGACTTTTATTTGTTCTGAGTCAATCACAGGGATAGGAACACATCTCATGTGTGACGTCAGCTGGTCCATACCACACACTGGCCAGAAAGAAGTCACTTACATGGGGCTTGGAGAATAAAAACTGCCCTCTCTCACTTGTTTACAATGGAATGGCACACAGCCACTCTGCTCACTTCAGGACACACGACCAGCAGTCACAGGAGGACAGGACAGGGTGAGGGCGGTGCTGCAACGGCGACAGCACCTTACGATGTAGTGCCATACTGAAGATGAAGCACTTGCTCAATACACACAGCTGGTAGATGTCTGGGAGGGCGAGAGGCACATTGGTCCCTCCAGCTCAATACTAAACTAAGTTACCAGGTCTGTGAGGTCTGATCCTAAGTGAGAGAGAGGGAGGTCTATCAAGGTATCCCATAAATCAGTTGCTGAATATCCCGGGGAGTAGGGAATCCTGGCAGAGGAAGAGATACATACACACGTTTATAGGGGAGGAAGATCCAGAGACAGGTACAATGGGGGACTTTTCTCTTTTCTCTGTGCACCAGAGGGTACCATATTAAAGGGGAAAAAAATCTATGTTTTTCTTACATTATATAATCAGAGTATATGTGTCAGAGGGATAGTTGCTGGAAATCTTTTCCTCCCCTTGCCTCACCTCAATTCTTGTCAGAAATAGGTCTAAAAATGTCACACAGTTATCCATCCTTAATTTAAAGTAAAAATCTCAATAGACCAGGGGATGGCTGCAGGTCTTGTGGCTTCTCTGAAGCACAGACGTGTGACAATAGTACAGAAACACAGGAAGTGACTATGAACACACAGAGGTTTTGCAGCTTGCGTCGATTCTCACACATTCTGCTTTTAGATTCTGAGCAGTTCTCCCTTCTCAATGCGCTATGAAATAGAAGGGTCTGGCTGAATCATCCAAGTGAAATGAGTTTCCTTCCCCGCAGGGGATTCGGAACAGAGTTGAGGTCCTTTCGTCCCACAACCCTAGAAATCATGACTTTCCTAGAGAAAGGCCCACTAGGTTGACAGGACCCGCAGACCGTGCGGGGAACCAGTGCCTTGGGAACCCAGAAATGCCCGCGACCAGGCCAGGGGAGGCGCGAAATGAAGCGGAGTTGTTCCCAAGGCCGGTTGCGGAGGACGTGGCAGCTCCCGCCGGGCAGTGATTGCTTTGAACCAGAAAGAGAGCTAAGGGCCCCCAGTCCAAAAGGACCCAAAGCAGCGACAGGGCTCTGAGATCTGGCAAGTTCCTGGGAGTCGAGCCAGGGAAGCGAGTGTCTTACCTGGCCAGGCTGGCTGGTGTAGTTGAAGGAGTAGATGTTTTCGGTGCTGAGGTTCACCACCCCGCTGTAGACGTGATCGAAATCGGCGCCCCTAGCAGGGTTGCGGGGGTCGCGCCGCTGCGCCAGGGGTGGCGCGGGGCTCCCGGGTGCCGCCGCCCGCAGGAGCCAGGGCAGCGCGCAGACCAGCGCGAGCCGCGGGCAGCCGGGCATGGTGCGCGCTGCGCCCCGCGGTGAAGCAGAGCCGCCCTGGGGACCGGGCGGGCGCGGAGCCGGCTTCAGCGCAGCGCGGGCGATGCCCGGCAAGCCACGCACGGGTGCTGGCAATGCACCGGCGAAGGGCTGATCAGATATTGACGCAGGAGCCGGGGATCTCCACCGGAGGTCACGGACCCGGGGGAAGTGGGGAGGAGGATACCGGGGTTGGGGGCTGCGGCTTTGCTCTCGGGTTTCTAAGTCCGTTTCCTTCCCCCGTTCTCATTTCTGAGAATCTCCCACTTACCTAGCCAGAATTTGAACCGATCGCTTCCCCCTCAACCTTAAAAAAAAAAAAAAAGGCACTGGAGACGTTAAAAAGAAACATCCACTAGTCTTGATGAGTACACCTGACCAGCCATTCAGCAGGGAATTCAATCTGTTTCAAATAAATGTGCACCCCGGCTGCCAGCGATAAAATAGAAAGCAACAGAGCCTGCCCCAAAGAGGGTGCACGAGTTCGCCTTTCCAGTAGGCTACCTGCAGAGAACTCCCGCCTGTCTGAGAGATGGTTTTAACTCTCAAGTCTCCCTTCTCTAATAGAACCCCTTTCCAAACACCTGTTTTATTTCCTTATCGCCTCCTATTCTCCAAGAAGAGCCTCACGCCATCGCCTTCTCTCTCTCTAACCATACGTGTATGCAAATATGTACAGTCATTAAAAAAAAAAGATAATGGTTAAGAGGACAATTTCGAGCACCGCCTGAAGTCTGGTCCCGGAAGTTGTCAAAGGCGACTCAGAACTGGTTTTATGCAGAAGGCATTTCTTTCCACCCAATCTCTTGCCTACTTTACACTCTGTAATGAATTCTCAGATTCTGAAAGATTCCCTAGGATTCTGTATTGTTTTTCAAAAGAGAGAAACACAGCCCACAATTAAAAGGACATTTTCTGGCAAAAAATAGGAGATTCGATTTAAATAGTTAAAGAGCCAGAGAAAGGGTGGGGTGAAAAGAGGATCCTTTGGAGAACATACAGCTATTACAATTCAGGTGTAGAAGAGAACCCATTGTTTTATTTCAGCTTTAAGTTATTTATAAACTGGAAAAGCATATAATTGCCTTTAACTTGAAGGAACACTGAAGAAAGAAGCCACAAAGAAAAAACCCGATCTTGTTCAAAGCATTAAGATTACAGATTAAAATCCTAGCGTTTATCATTCAAAAGTTTTTTTTTTTTTACCTCATTAAATTCCTACAATTTATTAAAACTTCAAAAATAAGTGAAATCTATTTGGTATAAAGTTTTATAACTGCACAACCAGAAAACAATGCTGAAGGAAGACTGACTTAGACTTCTTCTTATTAGGACAATTTTTACTTAAAAAAAAAAAAAGATATTTTAGACCTTATTTTTTAATGTTTTTTATTGATTTTTTTTCTTAGGGAGAGAGGGATAGAAACAATGATGAGAGAAACATCGATCAGCTGCCTCCTGCATGATCCCTGCCAGGAATGGAGCCCACAACCTGGGCATGTGCCCTGACCAAGAATCAAACCGGAGACCTCTTGGTGCATGGGATGACGCTCAATTCACTGAGCCACACTGGTGGGGCCAATTTTTACTTAAAAAAAAAATTTTTTTTATCCTCACCTGAGGACATTTTTCCATTTTTTGTTCAGATAGAGTGGGAGGGAGAGAGAGGAAGAGAGAGAGACAGAGAGAGAAACATCAACGTGAAAGGGACACATTGAGTGGCTGCCTTCAGCACAACCCAACCAGGGTCGGGGACAAACTGCAACTGAGGTACATGCCCTTAGCGGGAACTGAACCCGGGTCTATCTGGACCGCAGGCTGACGCTCTAACTGCTGAGCCAAACCGGCCAGGGCCCAATTTTTACTTGTAAAAAAATGTTCTTGAAAATGTGGGGCCTAAGGACAAAAATAATAATTCAACGAAGGCCAGTGGTAAAGTTTAAAATATCGTTGTTTTTAAAAAAACATAACATCATAACTTCATTCAGAATTTGAATAACTTTAAACTGCTGTATTTAAAATGTCTATGTCTCTTTTTAGAATTTAACAAAATTTCATAAACTTTAAGTTCATGAAGCCCTTCATGGTCAACTGGCCTGGCCACTTTAAGCACTTAACAGAGTAGTAGTGTCATGGAGTCACGCAACACTGGAGATGAGGAATGGACTCTTTTACAAGGCAACCCCTTCTTTTGGGGGATAAATGTCTCATTAGAAAGATATTATCACATTGTAATTAAAAGTTGCCTCTCTTCCACTTACTGGTGTGAGTTCTGCCCTCAGGAGCCATAGGAATAAACCTAATCCTTCTTCCACATGACGGACTTGTAGGTATTTGAAGAGGGCTGTGACCCTTCAAGACTTTATCCTACTTTTAAGCAATGAAATTAGAAACAATTGGAATAGATTATCATAGCACAGAACCCAAAATATTTATTTTAAAGCCATTACAGACAATTTGAGTGATATATTACAATTCACTCTATACTATGATATAATCCTAATTCTAAACCCAAATCTATTGAATGACTTTAGGTAATTAATCTCCGAGGATCACAAGATTGCTGTAAGGATAAAAGAGGGAAAGGATGTTCTTGAAAGTGTATTAGGCAGTTTAAAATGTTACAACCACTAAATATTATTATTGTAGGACACCTGATTCAATAGCTAAAGAGTAAAATATGATCCATCAGCCAGGTTTTTAAAATATGTATAATGTAAAGCTTCCACTGTGAGAAACTGAATATACAAACAGATGATGACCAGACCGTATATGACAATAGACCTTTGACCCACACAACCTTTTCAGAAAATGGCCCAGAACAGTTAGGACTTGGTCAGTGACTTTTTGCCCCTACTTTCAACTCAAAATCAATCAGAGAAAGCCAAATATGCTCCCCAAACTATAAATACTCTGCTTCTAGTTAGTGGGCCTCCTGCTTCCCATGTCACCAAGATCTAATCAGAGCATTTCTGAAACCTCCCTTTTTTTCCCACTACTTCGCAAATAGAACTGTAATATTAAATGCACACTAGAGGGACTATTTCTTGAGGTTTCAGAGGACTCGTCTACAGTAATTTTAATCAAGTTGTGTCTGTTTTATATAAACGTTTTCTTCTCCACTATACTTGATGTATACTCCAGATGATGATCTTAACACTGTACCTGACTCTCTGTAGGCTAAAAGTCCCTTTGACACTGGAAATATAATTGGAGTGGAATCTGTTCAAGTTCAGATGGATTCTACCTGTTAGCCAAACTTCCTCAAAACTAGAAGCTAGAGCAAAGAAAAGCCTCAAATCTATAGTTGAGGGCCTTATATCCTGCCCTAACCCTTGTAACATTCCTGTCCTGCCAGTAAAGAAACCAAATGGATGAGAATATTGATTTGTTCAAGATCTCAGGGACATCAATACAATTCTTATTCTTCCCTTCCCATTAGATTCTAATACTAAATACTAACCTGTCAACGGTTCCGCAAACCACCTGCTTCACTGTGATGGATTATTGCTCTGCCTTTTTCCATGTGTCCCTACACTAGAATAAGTCAACATCTTTTTGCCTCATTGGAGAGGCCAATATTCTACACAAACAGCTAGGCCCAAAGGGTTCACCAAAGTCCTACTTGTTTTCCTAGGTCCTTAATCAAGAATTAAAAGATCTGCCTCAGTTGGTTTGGCTCAGCGGTTAGAGCGTCCGCCTGTGGATCTAAGGATCTCAGGTTTGATCCTCCTTGTCCAGGGTACATGCCTGGGTTGCAGATCCTTGCCCCAGTCAGGGTTGTCGGGGAGGCAACCAATCGATGTGTCTCTTTTGCATCAATGTTTCTCTTCCTCTCTCTCCCTCCCTCCCTTCCACTCTATCTAAAATGTCAATGAGAAAATGTCACTCAAGTGAGGATTAGCAAACAAACAAACAAACAAACAAAAAAATGAAAAGATTTCCCTTGTGATTCAGTTTTAATAGAAGATATAAATGATATCCTATTTTGTTCAGAGAAGCCTATAAAAAGGATTCCATTTACTTGTTCTCAGCCTTAGCAAAAAAGGGAAATACAATTTAAAAAAAGGTAAATTACAATTTTGCCAAAATATAATTCATAATTTAAGGCATGACCTATTTAAGGAGAGGAAAACATTCTCTCATGAAAGGCTAGAAACTATTCAAACTTACCCCAGACTCCTCGCAAAACTACAATTGAGATGATATCTAGGTCTAACTAAATAGTTGAGACAGTGGGTGCAAATTTTTCTGAGATTGTGATACCTTTTTATGAAATTGGCCAAGTCTTTAGTAAGAACCGCTCTCTTTTGGGAGCCCAAGTATTAAACAAGTCTTCTATAATCCAAAGAAGGCTCTTCAACAGTCTGCTTCCCTAGACATCCCTAACAACAACAAACCCTTTTGTCTACTTTTGCATGAATGTTCTTGACAAACCTTGGGGTTTTAACTCAATTTCGTGGGAACCATCAAAACCCACTTCTATTGTAGCCTCACCCTCAATCCAGTTGCAGAGGCTGATACCCCTTGTCACTGCAGAACGTGTCAATGCTTCTGCTGAGTTTCTTCTAGGCTCCCTGCTAGACCTTATGGTTCCCCATGCAGTATAAACTTTACTACTGAGAACACACAGTACTTCAGGCAGTTGATTAACATCTTATGAATTTCCTTTGCGCTCTCCCTCTTACATTACTATTAATTGCTGCAAGACCCTGTACCCTGTTACTCTCCTGCCCTTACCATAAGAAGGGGAGCCTCATAATTGTCTTACTTTCTGTACCTGCTCAGCTTTATTAGAGACTCCCATTGAGAATTCTACCTAATGTTTGTTGATGGATTGTACTTCAAAATGAAAACTGGAAATTATCAAGCTATCACTAATGTAAACTCTCCTTTATTTTTTAAGATTTAAAAAAATGTTTTTATTGATTTTTAGAGAGAGGAAGGGAGGGAGAGAGAGAGAGAGAAAGAGAGAAACATCC